GAGGAGGTGGCGGCACCCAGTCTCTCCTCTGCGTCGCCTTCAGCCGTGGGCCGGGACTTGTCACTGGATCTCAGTGCCAAGGAAGTTGGGAAAAGTAGGGGCACGTGGAGTATTTGGGAGCACTTACTATCCTTTTTTATGGTGTTTTCCCTCCCATCTCTCTAAGACCCATCTCTGGTTCCCTATTTGGCATAGGATGAGGCTAGACTGGGTGAATGGAAGGCCAAGTGGGTGAAGGCGGCCTGTGGTGGGCTTGGGCATCTTCTGGCACTGCGGGGTTACAGGGTGCTGGAGCAGTCCTCGGGGTCAGATGGAACCAGGAGGCGGGGGGGTGGGGCTGAAGGGATGATGTACCTAAGGACGGCCAGGCATCAGGAATGCTGAAGGAAAAGATTCCCTCTCCTGACTCCCAAGTCAGCCTTCTTGACAAACAAGCCTATTTTAAATGTGTACCAAGGAAGCTCAGTGTTTAAAGGTAACCTGGGGGGAACCTACCCACCAAAGATACACTGGAAATTTATGTGGGTGCGTTTATTCGGACATACATACCAGTAAGGTTAAATGTGTAGTGAGGCCCCCGTAAATTCAAATCATATTCGTGGAGAGCAATTTAACCCACTTCAGGGATGGATCCAGACAGCTGCTGATAGTATTTTATGTGTGTTTAGGCTTTAGCTTTTGAAAAGTTGTTTGTCTTTCTAAGTATTTGATGCTTTGTCTATCTAGGACTGCCAGTCTGTGGTTCAGTTGAGGAGGAAGATTCTAACAGGACCATGGCCATTTTTAATCGCCCTGGGTCCTCCTTCCTTCCCGCCCTCCCTCTGTGAATGCTGGGGAAGGCAATGCACTGTAATGTCACATGACTAGATGTACTTGCTGTCCACTTGGAGAGTTGGAACACTTAAAATGGAACTGGGGGAGGCATGGCTTCTGACCTTGAGATGACAAAATTAGGAAGGCCCTGTCTTGTGTCCCCTCACCCCCAAATAATATACACTTGAAACATAGCTTGGAGTGATTGGGCCCATCTCTTCCTTTTTTTTTTTTTTCTCCTTCTATTCTTTAATATCAAGGAAAAAAACAGCCAGAGGCCTAGATGGGTTGAGCATCCAACTCCGGCTCAGGTCATGATCTCGTGGATCGTGAGTTCGGGCCCCACGTTGGGCTCTGTGCTGACAGCTCAGAGCCTGCAGCCTGCTTCGAATTCTGTGTCTCCTCCTCTCTCTCTGCCCCTCACCTGTTCATACTCTGCCTCTCAAAAATAAATGTTAAAAAAAAAAAGAAACAACAACAATAACAAAAATGTCCCCACAAGACATAAATCAATTGCATTATAAACAAAAACATACCCATTTTGTCCCAAATAAAGTACAATTTATAATCAAAATTGGTAAATCCAGTTATTAGTTCTAGTAGATCATTTTATTAGATGACTTAATACCGATGTCAGCTTGCAGGAGCAGGAGAAAGCTTGCAGGGTTTCTGAGACCTATTTCAATTCACTTGTTCTAGGTTAAAACTCTGGAAGGGGTGCACGTACAGTCTACGTCCCTCTGGAATATCATTTGTTGCATCCGTGCAAGGCATCCACTTCTTATTTAGAGGGGTCAAGAACAGAAGCAGGGGTCCCATGAGTTATTTCTCAGCCATTTTCCGCATCACTTGAGGCCCAGAACCCACCCAGGCTGAAAGTGTGTGAGGTAAGGAGATGGGCTCCCAGCCTGCAGCCAGATGCCCTGCCCCCAGGGACACCCAGCCTTTGGGGGCTGGCAGGACGGACTGGCCATTCTTTCTCGGATGAGCAAGGGGGCGTAGATGACAGGTCTGGGGCTGACCTCCGTGCTCACATTCACTTTCCGTTTACCCAAAACAGTTGGAACAAGGGTCTGATCAGAAGGAAAGACATACTGCAGGTTGCAGGAAAAGGACATTTTTTCAAAAGCTGAAACTGTCCGCCAGCGGTCTAAGGAAGGATGACAGATGTAACTCCTACCATGCTTCTTTTTTTCTCTGTTTCCTGGAGAGGCCGGGAAGGCCGGTCTGTCTGTAAGCAGGCCGGGGGACTGCTTCACTACGCAGCTCCGTGGGGCCGCAGGCAAAGCCTCGGGACTCCAGCCTGGGAGTCTTCTAGAAGGACAGCTGACGGTGCTTTTATACTCTGTGTAGAGAAGGAGTCAGAGGGAAGCCCTGGCTTTTCGCTGAGTGAGCCTCTTGGGCTCTTGGGGTGGCCGGGCCGAATTTGGCCTACCGTGCTCGCTGGTACCCATCCGGGTTCAGGCGCCCACTCACACACAGGCCCTGTGAGGGTGCGACGTGGCCCTCCTTCCTCAGCTGTGGCTGTCCGTGGCTTTCAGCCTCTCCGGACACTTTCTGGGACCACCCACAATGCCCCTTCATCGTAGCTCAGAGTTTGTTTTTCTATTTGGATTAGTCTAAGAGTAAATGCCATAGGCCTTCTGGCCCTCCAAAAAAAAAAAAAAAAATCATTTCTGTGTAGAGTGAAAATTAGACTCTTAAATCTGCAAAGAAAGCTGTTTATCTTACAAATTTATTCTTTTTATTGGGCCACACATATCCAAGATAGAAAGATAAAAGGCAAACAGATACAGGCCATCACTTAGAGTGACATATAGTGAGGCACCGCTCACCCTCAGCTTCTGTAGAACCTTCCAGAGTGGCGCATGTATTTATCGACGCTGTGCCCTGAGCAAGGACTCACCAAAAGCTACAGTAGAAATATGTCCTCCACGCTCTCTCCCTCCTGTTCCATTGGACAGCTCCACCTTCCACTGCTCACAAAGGCTGGAGGAAGATTCTGGGGAAGGTGTTCATGAGCAGATCTCGGAACATGGGGCTTTGCAGGAATTTAACGTCACAAGTCCACACCTGCCCACTACCTCTGTCCTGAAGCCAACATCCAGGGCACTTAGTTCTGTTTATGATGCAAACTGACAGCTATCAGCCTCCTAACTTAAATAGGGTATGTTAGTTAACTCTGTTGCACAGAGCACTTGGCAGAATCTGAATCAGGCTCTTGGCGATTTTAAGCTGACCTCAGGATGCCACACAAGGAAAGCCGAGTCACGCTGGGGGGACAGATGCAACGCGTTTGGGATGGGGGGGTGCGTGCGGGAAGGAGAATGGGCAGGAGATGGCATTCCAGGTACTTAAACCTAGGATGTGGTTGGTTGACTTGAAACTGGCATCTGGCCGTTGTTCTCCTGGGCCGTCAGCGAACTGGTGGCCGTGGCCCCTGATTGGCCGTGGCCCCTGATGGGTTGAACCTGTGGGGTGTGAAGCACCCCGCTGTGATGCACTGGGGCATTTGTTTGCCTTGAAGTGATAACACTCTCCTGTGCGTTTGCCTTATTCAATAGCAACCTTTCCACATTCATGTGGATGATCAGAAAGCTAGTGCCAGGTGGGTTGAGCTCTAGATGCGGCTGAACATGGTGGTCCTCCCACCATGCAAAATTATGGGAAAAAAAAAAAAAGATGCTGGGTAGATAAACCCTTTCAATGGCCCTTTCAAGGAGGGTTGGAGGAGCTGGAGAGAAAGTGGGTTCAAAAGTGAGCCTTCAAAGAACTTTGCCAGGGTGACGATATCGTTGTGCATTAGTCCAAACGCAGAGAGGATGCTTGAGGCCCAGGGTTTCCACGGTTGCTTGGAGCAGACATCCAAATGAGAATGAAATGTGATTGCCTTCATCTTGTGCATGGCCTATAAGTCTGTCCCTTTTGGCTGTTAGCAGGAAACACCAGGAACGGATGTTGCAGAATAAAAGCAATTTGCATTTTCCATTGCTTGGAAGGTACAAATCTTGTTTATTCTGTTCTCTGCAGAAGTCACAGGTCTGCTTATTATCTCAGAAGGTCCCCTTGTTCCCCTAGTGGATCTACCATGGTGCCTAGAGGGTGAGCTGAGAGCTGCAGTGAGGACCCCGCCAGCCTCAGGAGCTTGCGTTCTCTGCCAGGGGGTCAGCCTCCATCTCTGCAGGAAGGCCAGAGGAGAGGGCTCCGGTGCCCACCCACCCCCCCAGCCCCCCGGAGATGCAGATTCCCAGCTCCTGCCCTGCTCCCCTGATGTCGCCTCTTTGGCAGTGTGATGTGGGGCCTCGGGTGTTGCGATAACATATCCTCCAACCACTAGATATTTTCACGGTTTTATTTACTATTATGTCCCATCATTTCTGTGCAGAAGGCAGCCGTATGTAAATTTTATTCCATTTTCTAATGGTTTGGGTTACATAACAAATAACAGCGGGAAGGAAAATTTGTATTGATACTTTACAGAGGAAGTTCTCAAGTCACTGCACAAAGATTTAACTGCTCTGCTCGAAGTTTATGGGAGTCTAGCAGCTGAGTTTCTGCACATGACTTTGAATATGTCACTATATGTTTATCATGGGCTAATTGTGGAACTGCATTTTCATACTTTTTCTTCTCCCTTTCATAAGATTACAGCAGCCAGCGGTGGATACAAGACTCGGCAAGGAAGAAATGATCAGTTTTGGATAATTTTCTTTCCTGTCCCAAAATAGCTGTATGTCTGCATGTCTTAGGGACTTGGCCAAGACATATTTTCTTTTCCCCCCTCATCTGTTGCTAGATATAATGCAAATGTGTTGTCGGTCCCATAGTGAGCTCTCTGGCTAGTCCGTATTACAAATTAATCAGATTCAACAAACACCACCATTTTTAAACTTTTGAAAAAAAAAATATTTAATAGGAGCGAAGCGAAAGAAGAAATCAAACCAGCTGCTGACACAGCTGTTTCTTTTCTTGTTTAATTCAGTTCAATATAAAGGTACCATATGCTGCTTAAAATGATGATAGGAAAGATGAAATAATTTAAGAGAATAACAAGAAAATACATGAATTGTCAGCATTCTGTCAGATTGAAAGAATGAAATAGACAGGTGTAGTATTGACATGTTTCACTTTGTGCGGTGTTAGCAGTTTGGGTGCGAACAGCTTCTGACGTGTGGAAGTGATGTGAGAACGTTTCTCCTCCGCTGCAGACCTCGGCGAGGAGGCTGGGAGGGCCGCCGGCGTCCAGCAGCCCGCACTGCTTCGCGACAGGAGCCTGGGCTCGGCCATGAAGGACTGCCCGTACTGTGGGAAAACCTTCCGGACATCCCATCACCTAAAGGTCCACCTGCGGATACACACAGGTGAGACGCGTGGGTGCGGCCGGGTGCGTGGCATCGAGCTGGGGGCCACCATTGTGTCATCACCGGCCCCCGCCGCGCTCTCCGCGGGTCCCCGGGGGACCCTGGCGTCCCGGCTCGGTCCTCCACAGCCAGCCTCCCAGATGACGCGCGGGCCTGTAGACGCCAGTCTCCTGTGGCCCAGGTCTGGGGGGATGATGCTTTGTGGGAGGCCCCGGGACGTCTCGCCGCTGTCTTTAATGAAGCGGGGCCTCTCGTGCCCCTTTCATGGACCAGGGGCCCTTGGGGTGCAAATGACCGGAGCCCAGCTCAGCTCTGAGTGCGAAGGGAGCTGAGTGTGGCAGCTCCCTGACCACGTTCAGGTGGACGGGCTTTTGGCCCAGCTGGAGTTACGTGCCCACAGCTGGGACCCGACTGATGGTGTCAGCCCCTCACGTTATACAGGCTGGAGCATCGCTGCTCTCTGCGGGGTCTGCTCGAGACAGGAAGTGAGGAAACACTTCAGCAAACACTGGAAGTGGCTGCTGGACCGCTCTGGTCATTTCTCCTATTTCCCTGCCATCCTAGCCCCTCGAACAAATGCAGAATTTGTTTTTTTTGTTTTTTTTGTTTTTTTTGTCTGTCTGCCTTGTCCCTTGGTCATCTATGTTTTTTTTTCCTTAGCTTTCTGTTGGTTGTTTGCATTGCCAATACAAAAAAAAAAAAAATCTATCTGAGATATGGACACCTCCATTTTCTTTGATTTTTCTCCTGACACTTTATCTATTGGAGTATGAGCTGCTTCAGAGGATAGACAAATATGCCATCTATTTTCAAAAATAATTGTGGTCTATTTCCCAAGGAATCAATAAAGCTCAGGGTTGTGCAGGATATTTAGTGCACACGGGCCTTGTGTGCAGCGTGTGGTTAAAGAGAAGGAGCCCCTCACCTGGAACCTCACCTGGTGCCCGCAAATCTCCCTGACACCGAGAGGAGCCCTGAGAACAGGTGACAGGGGCTGCCATCTTTATTCATGGTCTGGGGCACAGCTGAGCACCACCACTGTCCCGGAGCACTTCTCTCCTAGAGTCATCCCAGGGCAAAGAGGGAGCTTCTAAAACTAAGCACTCCCCCAGGCCCTGTGGGATCCTAGTCTTCTTGAGCCTCCTCCTCCTCTCTCTCCTACCACATGGGCCTCTTCCGGTTCCTCCAGTGCAGAGGTCCAGTCCCTGCCGCAGGGCCTTTGAACCCACTGTTCGCTCCACCTGGAAAGGCCTTCCTCCTGGTAGGTACTGGGGGCTTACCTACCAGGTAAGCTCTTCAGAGAGTCCATGTCTTACTTCCCTGCCTAAACTTAGCACTTTCTGAAACGATCCTGTTCAGTTCAGTTGTTCGTTTCCTTATGCATTGTTCGTCTCCCTCCAAGTGGAATGTGAGGGTGGCGATATTGTCCATATTTTTAATTGCTACAATTTCGAGAGCCCCAGGGTCTCTTAGAGCCCTTTACATGTAGTAGGGGCACAGTGGATTCATTTGAAAGCTTGAATGTCGGAACAAATTTGAGAATAAGTGAGTGAACTTCTTCCTGTAATCTCTGGACTGTGCCAGGCGGCATGGAGGGGACAAGTGCCGCGAGGAACATGGACCCTTCCCCAGGGAACCTGTGGCCCTTGTAGAAAGGCAACCTGCACACGAGAACCCATTGGAAGCCACAGTGTGCCAGCTAGGCTGTGAGTTGCACATAGAAGTCCTGGTTTCAGATAGAAGACCCCTCCCAGGAGCTCAGGGAAGGGTTCCTGAGTTCCTGCCTCAGGGTCTTTGCACTTCTCTGCCAGATAGGTGCATTGTTTTGCTCCTTTATTTTCAGAGTTTGACACCAATGTCCCCTTCTCAGTGAGGTCTTCCCAGTGGTCAGGCTCAGGACGAAGTAGCTCAGATATCTGGCTTTCTCAGAACATGCCGATGTCCACTTTCTTCCCCAGGCTGGAGCCGGGTCCCCTTGGGCTGTGGTGGTAGCTGGAGGGGGGCACAGACTGCCAGGATGTGGGAGGCAGTCCACCAGGGCATCCACCGTTGGGCTGTCCGCAGGAGTACGGGGACCTGGCCAGGCGTGTCCTGTGATAGCACCCGTTTATTAGATGAAGACACAGGCCTCTGGGCCAAGCTTACCAGGCGGTTGGTGGCTCACCACAGGTGAGGTTTTCCCTGCCAGGGAGTGTGGGTTAGGAAAGAAAGGGGCAGTGTCTCCCCGCCAGGAGCCCTGCTGACCCTGTGGGCCCAGCTCCCATCAGCTGGCCCAAACGTGGTCGTGGGAGAAACTCCCCAGAATATTTTGGGTGAATTAGGACCACGTGGATGGAAGCAAATGGATTCTGCTTTTTGAGGTTTTAAAGCTTGAGAAGGGTTATTTTCCCCCCTAAATTTCTGCTTCTTGTGCTTCACAAACTTCTGAGGTTTGTGAAAAGTAGTCTTTGGAGACACTGAGAGAAGCAAGACAAGGCCGTGGACAGAGGCATTCCGGAAACTTCCCAGAATAAGGGAGAAAATGAAAGAAGCCATGGAAACATCACACTGCCAGCCCCCCTCGGAAACAGCATTTGCAGTGTTTAAAAGTCAGAATGGTTACCAGATAAAGATCAATTTCCTTTTTATCAAAGAACAAAGAAGTTGGAAAATGCTTAGACTCGTGCATTTGAATAGAACAGAAAGTGTTGCATGTTCCAAATCACCAAAATAAACATCCATTTTGACAATGTTAAAGTGTAGATTACATGAGTAATTAAAAATCCAAATCAAGTTATTTGTTAATAAACGAGTGAATACGGGGCTCCAGTTGTGGGGATGTCCTGTCCTGCCTTGCCCCCTTTCTGTCTGTGTTCTTGTATTTCCAAGTGACATGGCCAGAGGACAGCAGTCTATGAGACAGAATCCACGTTTTCCAAAATACCATGTTTTGAAGTTTTTCTGTAATGGACCCATATGAGCACAGTTAAAAATCCAGTGTGTAATAAATATATTTTAATTGGTCAGCGTATGAGGTGGTACATTCTGTGTTTTTCTATCCCACTCCATCTTTATGAGCCGTCTCGATCATAGAGCATCCACTGATAAAAACCACTTTCCTTTTTTAACTCCACTACATTAACTCAATTACTGCCCTCCTTCCACCAACACCTGTTTATTAGGGAGGTGCTGAGTAGATGCAGAACCCAGGTTGTTCTCAGCACCTGGGGGGCTGGGGAGAGCCTACAGGAGCCAGAACGTTCCCTGCTACCCCCTGAGCTGCAGCCAGACCCATGCGGGACCGAGGGAGGCGTGTGGAGGGCCCCAGGGGCCCCGAGAGGCCCTCAAATCCTACAGGCCACTCCACTCTGGCTCTTGCCGGGCAGAAACTGATGACAGACACCCAGGGAGGCCGAACTGCTTTCCTGTTTCAAACATTACCATGAGCGGATTAGGACCCAATCACTGAATGTGTATGGTTTGTCTTCTAGAGCATATGGCGATGATTTGAATTCAGACCCAGTCAGTGCAGGCTCAGAAAGGAGATTGCATCAGGGTTCTCCAGAGAAATGGTATATATATATATACATATATATATATATATATACATATATATTCATATATGTATTCATATATTCATATTCTAAGTATGCGCAATATATATTGTAGATGATAAAGCATATATGTATATATATATGCTTTAAATAAATAAATAGATTTATAATAAAGAATTGGCTCACTCAATTATGGATGCTGAGATGTCCCGAGACGTGCATTTGGCAAGACGGCAGACCCCGGGGAGTCAGTGGCATTAAGTCCCAGCCCAAGCCCAAGCCCAAAGGCAGGTGAAGGCGGATGTCCCAGCTGGAAAACAGGCAGAGACAGTGAATTCTCCCCTACTCAGCCTTTTGTTCTGTTCAGGCTTCCAATGTACTTGATGAAGCCCACCCATGCTGGGGAGGGCAATCTGCTTTCCTCAGTCTACCCATTCAAATGCTCATCGCATTTAGAAACACCTTCCCAAACACACCCAGAATAATATTTGAGCAAATGTCTGGGTACCACGTGGCCCAACTGACGTAGAAAATCAACCATCACGGGGCTGCAGCAGCAGACATTTAGTCCTAACGCGCAACGGGAGGCAGGGATATTCCCTAGGTCGCCCCCGGCCGAGGCTGGCCAATCATTTCATTATGGGCTGCCTGAAAATGCGCTTCCTTCTTTTCCTCACTTCCCCCTCCTCTAGCCCCATCTTGGGGATACCCTCCAGGGCTCCTTGGGTCTGTTTTGTGTACAGGAGGTAGGCACGTGCTGATCAGTTTCCGGAAGGCTGGAGGGGTGTGTATTCTCCACACAAGCCCCAGATGGGTGTGACACCCCACGTAGTGGCTGCAGGACCCCAGGCTGAGTCGTCTCAGGTGGCTTACCTGTGTGTTGGGTTTCCCAGGAGGCTCCTGTTGTCTCAGGAATGACCATCGTAGAGAAATGTAATAAGCAACCTCACTCATGAAAACTTGGAGGCACGAAAGTTCAGGGACTAATTAAAAATAAATCTCATTAGTTTTTTCCCCTCTCAAATTATGCGAGTGGTTTATTAATCTGGTTTTGATGTGCTGCGTGCACTGGTCCGGCCCTGAGTTGAGAACCTCTTTATGAAAATGGATTTGTACAGGGAAGCTGGAGGTGGCTTTCCAGGGCTCTGGGCTGTGGTCAGGGTGGGCGTGTGGGGCACGCCCAGCTCGGCTCACCCCTGCCAGGTGAGTGCCTCCGTGACGCAGCAGCTGGACGCTGGCTGAGTGGGGTGTCTGAGGTGCTCTTCTTGGCTCCTGCTCGCATGCTCATCCCCAGGCAAGGTGCCCCTGGCCCGATAGGACCACAGAGAAGTGTGGAAGTTGCTTCTGTCGTGCAGTACCATCGTCAAAGGGATGTGTGCCCAGCTGGGGGCCGGGGTCAGGGACTCTCTCACCTCTTGACTTGAGGCTAAGTCCACACTGCATGGGGGCTACTGGCTGGAGGCAGAAAAATGCAGCCAGTAGGAATCATGTAATAACAACAATAATAGGAACAGTAGCCACCACTTTGTGGACACTCGCAGGTGCGGGCACCGTGCTGATCCCTGCACCTGAATTCACTCCTTCTCTGTCCCAGCGCCTCAGTGACCAGGTTGCACCCTGCCCCTCGGCAGGGAGGAGGAAACAGAACCTCAGAGCCGTGAAGTTACCCACTCTGGGGTGCTCAACATCGCTTACAGGGTGAAACCCAGATCTGTCTCTTAACCGCTGCACTATGTTGGTATTTTTACTTTTCTGGGTGGATTTTTTGGCTTGTTTTAGGGAATTAATGCAACATTTCTTTGACAGTGTGTGTCCACACCATAACCAGCGGGAGGAAAGGAAGTGACTTGTACCCACAAGGTGTGTTGACGCAGCCTCCCGGCGATTTCAAAGGGAAGTACCTTACACCCTGGCTCCTCCTTTACCCCCAACTCACAATGGCCTGAGGCCACGCCTCCTTGACCCCGCGTGCCTCAGTTTCCCCAGCAGCACGAAGAGGTTAGGGAGGTGGTGAGGCAGGGAAGCAGCCACTGTGGCACATGGAGGTATGGAAGGTGGGGTGGGATTACTCGCTGAATCAGGAGATGATAAATTACTCATGCCGTTTTGGAAACTGCCTTTCATCTTCAAAGAGCTTCCGAAGCACCAACTGGTATATAGATCTGGGTGGAAACGAGAGTTTAGTGGGCCTAACCCAGGTGCCTAATGCCTGATGTACACATACCTTACCTTCGATGCTTCTGTTTCCTCTCCTAGGTAAGGTGACCAGGCTGTTTTAACGTTTATAAAAGCACATTGAATAGATTTTCAAATATAGATTGGTTAACATGAGTGCTTTTCCCATTTTGTCTTTCTAAAAGGAGAGCATGTGTTGTTGTCCTTAGTGGGGGACAGCCACCTGAATAATGATGGAAAGAAAAAAAAAAAAGATCGGCTTGCCAAAACATGATTCTCTTCTTTTGCTTCTTCTTTTTTTTTTTTACCTTTTGTTGTGAATTAAAATTCTATCATTTTTGTATTTCTAAGATGAACTAAAAGCCCATTTTATCCCTCCGCAGTCCGCCAACCTTGCTGTTCCTGCCTTAATGACATCCCAAACTTTTGTTGAAAATAATTGATTGAATTTAAATTTCCTTAAAAGTTTAAGAGGTAATGTTACAGTATAAATTTCCTACCAAACACTAAGTAGGGAAATATCCATTAGTGAAATTAACTACAGTTTCTAGGTAGCTAACAATGTGCCGTATACAGTAGGGCATGGCTAATGAACACTGCAGTGGGTGATATTTCATTATACAAATTAATGCTCACATTTTAATGGGAAAGTCACATAATGAATCTCGGCTTCAGTGACAGCAATTAGAGACACAGATTGTCCCCTTCTGGACAAGGCACTGTTTAGCAATAAGCAGCTGTGTGAAAAGTCTTCAGGTTTACAACATATATATGCTTTGGGGGAATTAGTGTACAATTTATATTAATGTACTGAAGCTTGGCTGCAAAGGCACCACCATATCTATCTCTCCTGGTATTAACTAAGTAAAGACATGTAGAAAGACTAAATAAATATCAAATGGAGGATGCAAATACGGGGAAATATCCAGTTACTCACCTTAAAAGTTAAAACACTTTTGGAGACTTAGCACACACACACACACACACACACACACACACACACGTTAGAAGCATGAGCCACTTCTTAAAAGCTCGGTAAAGGGATTTCCAGAGAGAATAATGTGAATCCACCTGTTAGTTTTGGAGAGGTGCTGTTGGGGTATTGGCTCCATCGAATAATGCCAAAATAACTCCCCCGAACAGTGAGGGTTCCTTTGGCCCATGAAGTGCAAAGTGGAGGCTCAGAACGATGAAAGACGTGCTCGTGTAAAAATAGGTACAATGAACTAATTAAACCACTTGGTCATATATTTCTAAAAATTTATGGTACAAAGCCTGGGAGAAGTTATCAGTGGTATCCCAAAGTTGAATATACATCTTGTACCACGTGTTGGGAGGGAACTGCTTTAATGTAAGATATTTCCAGTAATTCATTAGTCTATTGGAATGACGAACCTATGACTTTTTATTTCAGCATGCCTCTTCTAGCAGAGCTCTCTTTTCTACAAGTGTATTGTCTGTGCCGTACCTTGTTCCTTTAAAATATTGGGAGAGGCTTCCCCCATGGTGGGCCCCCAGTGTTCTGACCTGCTTTCTTCCCTGGGTGAATAGCTCAGTACTGGGCATCCTTTCCCCAGATGCAGGTTTCAAACTGTCCGCCCAGTCCAGACCCAGTCTGCAGACTAAGGTACTGTGGTCCTCCAGGTGTTTGAAAAAGTTTTAGAGCAGGTACCAATATTTAAGAACCAGGATATTGCATGTAGAAATCTGGACGGAGGGCCTTTTCTTAGAATGTCAGCGGTCCTCATGGCCCCTGCTGCCTGTAGTCGGGGGCGACTGCTCTCTAGGAGAGCCACCCACCCCTCCCCCCAAACCCTGCTGTTTCGCACACTTCTGTGATCTGCCTGGCTCTGACGGCATCTGAGTGTCTGCCTCCAACATCAGGCAGACGAAAAGACAGCGTCCCAAATGTCATGGAGGTAACTGGAGGACTCATGAGCCCCTTGAAAGCTTGGGGCAGTCTGAGTGATCCTCCCAGTAGATTCGGGCCAATTGATGGCCTGAGTGGCCAATCATTCAACTAGACAGAGCTGCAGACAGGGTCTGGGGTCGCCTGTGCCACCGGGTCATATGGGGAACGCTGGGTGGGAGAGGGCTGACTGGCTCCCTGACTCGGTCCTGGGCAGAAGCCTGGGGCTGTGTGAGACTTAGCCCAGCACACTCGGGTCAAAACGCGTGGAGACCCTGACTGTGAAGTGGCTCTCGGCACAGGTAGATTCGGTGTCTGCGGTCACCAAATGCAAGGGAAGGGCTTGCCCTCTCCTCAGCCTACTAAAGGTGCTGACAGGTTTCTCTCTGTCTTGTTTAGGCCAGTGTCGGGAGATTGTCTCCCAAGCACTCTGAGATGCACCCTTGGGGGAAGGCATGTCTGTGTACCCACTGGAATGTTTCCAGTGGGCAGTGGGACCCTTGGGCTGCCTGGGGTTGTCCAGGAGACACTCATCCCAGATGATTCCATACCTGGGTTTGCCTGGCCAGGAACACACACCACTAGCTGGGGTCTGAAGCGTCCCCCGTACCCTCTCTGAGACGAGGCCCCAGAAGGTGAGAGAGGGCGTCAAGGAGAGGGCAGTAGTGGTTATGCAAATCGTTTAAGGGTTATAAAGAAAATAAAATCAAGGATCTTTTTTTAAAAATTTTTTTTAATGCTTATCTTTATTTTTGAGACAGAGAAAGACAGAGCATGAGCGGGGGAGGGGCCGAGAGAGAGGGAGACACAGAATCCGAAGCA